AATACCACTATCATTCAGATATATGCACCAACAACCAGAGCCAAAGAAGAAGAAATAGATGATTTCTACCAACTTTTACAGTCGGAGATAGCTCGAACATGCAATCAAGATGCATTGATAATAATGGGTGACTGGAATGAGAAACTATTAATGAAGCTTATATTCTGCTGTGGTTTATGATGCATGCCAAAGGCAAGCACAAAGTCTTTCTATCCTGTCCCTAAGGCTGTTCATGTGTACAGAATCACATGCTTAAAGTCTTATGTTCATTCACGTCATGAGTCCAATGTTTGCCAAAATGTACAGTGACAAACACAGCTGACAAGACCAGTAAACATTCATCTCTGGCTTCTTTTTTCCATGTACTTTTAGTCACATGCAGCATTTGTGGTACAGCTCTCTACAGCAGAGAGATGATTAGCCATCTTACTATCAATCACTGCAAAGACCAAGGATTCTAATTCTGAGAGTTCGAGGGTCAGGTTCCATCCCTTCCAGTTCATTTCTGAACCAGACTGTTTGCATTTAAACAGTCAAAGCTTCCTGCAACATTCTAATAATGGGAAGGAATTCTAGGAAATATGGAAAAAATGGCTTTAAAGAATTTTTTTCCAGACAAGTAGGTAAACTTTTGGCAAGTCTGATTTTAGAAATGAATTAGCTGGTTTCTTTGTTTTAACTCCGTTTTGTAGTCTTTTTTTGAACTAAGACTTCCTTCCCTACACAAAAGCATGGTTCCATAAATTATTGTCCTAGTTACCAAAATACTGAATAGTCATGAAATAAAACTAAACTTTAGCAAGATGTGATGCACTACAGTAATCATAGCAAAATTACTGTTAGAAGTAATTGTGTAACAACATAAATTAATCTTAATAATCCAATACTTATTACAAAAATTAAGCTATTATGAAATGCATTCATATACATACATTTAAAACAATATACATTTTGTGATGAAATATTTTGTTGTTGTTGTTATGTACCATTGAGTCACCTGCAACCCATAGTGACCCTATGTATAACAGCCCTAAACCCTGCTCTGTCCTGTGCTAATCTCATTGTCTCTGACACACCCACACCAATTACCGCAGTCACTGAATCAATCTACCTCATAGAGGGTCTTTCCCTCCTGCACTGTCCCTCCATAAAAGACATATATTAAGTGCATTAAAATTGTTGAGTATTACCTAATTTGTTATCATACGTATATACCAAACAATATATATTTTGGGGGGAAAACTTGCAAATACATATATACACATATATTTAAAACCTTAGACCTGCTGCCTGTGGGATAGGATTTTGATTTTGTAAAAAAAAATAAAAGAACAAATACGAGAATAAAGGAATTGAAATAAGAGAGAAACCTTGTACAGACCAATAATGACAATGCACTATAAACTAAGAATATATAATTAGCCCTACATTTCAGGTTCATATTAGGGACGAAAGAAAGACCTAGGTACAGGAGGAGGACAGACTTCATGAAAACAGACTCTAACACATATTAATTCTCATCCTGACTACCTTTGATTGTAAAGCCAAGGGCCATATCACTACTTTTGATTTGGTTTTAAGTACAGAATAAAATTGAAAGAGTTATGGTGACATAAACAGTTACAATGACAACTGACAATGATAATAGTACAGATTCTTTTTACCCCTAAAATTCCTTTTGTGTGCATCCCATTTTAACCTTCTTCCATTTGCCCTGAGTAGAAAAAGCAGAGAATTCTAAAGAGAATCAACTTACCTTCAAAGCCTTTATTTATAACTCCACTGGTGTTTGCTTCATCATGGCATTGGGAAATGCTATTTAAGGAGGAATTCCTGAATAGCTGAAGCTGGTCTTGAATTTTATGGAAAGTAGGCCTTTGGTCAGGCTCTTGAGCCCAGCACTGGGTCATTAAATTCCACCTGAATGTAAGAATAAACCAGATAATGATTTGACACTATTATCACAATAGTCACTACTGCTCATGACTCAGGTAAAACCACTTTGAGCTATTGTCAGTTTTCCATTATTAGGGTAAATAAACCAGAACAAAAACTTTGGCTTCTTATTAAGAGTGGTTTGCAAAGCTTCAGGAATTGATAGGTACAAAACAAATGATTACTCAATTAATTTATTCACAATCCATCAACATTTCATGGTTGTGGAACTGTTTGTATCTTTATATTGTATCAAACCTGTAATACTCAAAGCACAAGTTCTTCACCATCAAACAGCTAGAACTGATGGAACAAGTTTTCATAGAAAAATAATGATAATATTACATTGCCAAATATTTAGCACATACTGTGTGTCAATGTGCTATGATGAAGTCCTATGGAGTTGTTGTTGTTCGTTGTATAATGTTGGGTCGGAACCGACCCATAGCTGACTCTCCAGCAGGTTTTCAGAAGCAGTTAAGCGCACGAGAGTGCTCATCTTTCTTCCACAGACCACCTGGTGGATTTGAACTGTGTTCCTTCAGGAATTGCAGTGCAGCTTCTTATCACTAGGCCATTAGAGCTCCCTGATTATCGTTATTAAATATCATTATTCACAAGAAACAAATAAGGAAACCAAGCCAGAATGGTTGTCCTAAGAATTGAGGAAGAGAGGAGAGAGTAAAGTATATAATTCCCAGTAGGAAGAATATCACTTCTTAAAAAAGATATGACCAAAGAATTGTAGCATTTCTCAAGATTTGTCACATTTCTGTTATGAAGGTTTTCTTTCTTTTACTTATGTTCTTTCTTATTCTACAAAGGACTTGAGGCACTTAATGGAGATTGTTTAGGAGAGAAGGGAGGGTGAAGAATGAACAAAGAAGGAAAATAAAAAATTGAGGGAGAGAAGTGAGATTAATCCTTTCACACCTTGCTACTTGCCACTTTGCACGTCACATATTTACATCACCCTCCAAAAGTGTATGAGATATTTAGATGAGATTTCCCAATTAGCACCTGATGTAGGTGCCATTCAGTCAACTAGGACACATTGCCCCCTATGAACAAGAGATCTGAACCTTGGGCTAACCTGCACCATCTTCATTCACAATTAGCATCTAGGTGGATATATTTTTAAAATTAAAATAATTAAAACTAAAGTAATAGACCAACATGTTCTCTGATATTATTGTCTCTTGGCTAATTTCAAGAATTCATGTCAACAAGATATCCCTAATTTTTATAATCTTCAGATTTTAAAATAATCAGATTAATTTGCACCTAATCAATCATTATGCTTTACTTCACTTTCTGATAGCAAAAGCATATTAACTACTGTTGTTCTGTACTGTCAAGTCAAAATCAACCCATAGCTGACCTTCCAGCTCCAGCGGCTTTTCAGAGGCAATAGGTCACACAAGAGGAGAGTGCCTGGCCATTTTTCTCCTGTGGGGGAGTTGGGGAATTCAAATTGTGTGCCTCTGGGTTGGCAGCACAATTCCTTCCCACTAAGCAATTCCCTTATAACATACTAATACGTAAAAATATTTTGCCTCACCATCTAGAGATAAATGAGATCTGAACTGCCATAGACAGAGAAGGGAAAGGAGGACTGGTGGTGCAATGGTTAAGCATTTAGCTGCTAACAAAAATGTCTCTAGTTTGTGCCAATGTATCAGCTCTTTGAGGGGAATGTTGGCAATTGATTTCCATAAAGATTATAGCCAGGAAACCAGTAAATCCCATGGGGCAGTTGTACCCTGTCACACAGAGTCACTATGATTTGAAATAGACTAGATAAGATGGAACCCAATGAGAGAAGAGGAGCTATATATAAAAATAGCCATTTATAAGCAAAGTGTGTAACTTGTAAACTGTAATAAACAAGCAATGAATAAAATTGAGGGTTTTAAAACTTTCATAATCCTAAAATATCCATTCCTTATATCTCTCTGGTAGATTAATAGTAATTACAGCCTTGCCATAGGAGATGTTCCCTCGCAAATGTCCACTTGTCACAGTTCATTGTCATGTATTACATACATGCAGTGCTCCATTGTTAGGTGAGGACCAGTTGATGCTGACTCAAAGTGATCCTATGCACAAATGCTATGTTTGTAAAACAGAACAAAACATTGCTCAGCCCTATACTGTTACAGCTATGAATGTTGTTGTTATTGTTCATTGCCATTGAGTAGAACATATCTCATAGAGACTCCATGAACAAAAGAACTAATATCTTTCTATAACCATCATCGTTTCTCCAAGTTCATAGAGTTTCCATAGGCATGTGGTTAGGGAAGTGGATGTCACTTCTGCTTCCAAACCGGTTTTACAACTGGAAGCTCAACCAGACACTGTCCACATTGGGAAACCATTATGGTGCTGGACACCCCAATGGCACAAGGTTCAGCATCACAGCAAACCCAGATTACCTCAGTGCAGCAAATTGACAGAGTGCTGTGCAAAGTAGAAGAATGTTTCTCCAAAATATAACAAAAACTATAACGAAAAACACACAACAAAACCAGGCTCACTTAAGTGTCATCAGGTCGAATACAAGTCATATGACTATGAATATTCAAGCATATTACTCTAAATAAGGTTTTGTTGCTTTTGTTATGTACCATCAGAACCAACCTATAGCTGACCCTCCGGAGGATTTTCAGAAGCAGTAATTGCACGGAAGGAGATTTCCCATTCTTCTTCCATGGAGCAGCTGGTGACCTCAAACAGCGTGACTTTGGGATTGCAGCACAGCTTCTTGCCAGTAGGCTACCCCTCTCTATTTGCTAAAATTTATCTGGGCTACTCTTTACACTTTAAACAGTTCATTTAAGTAGGTACTTAGATTCCAATTTCTCCATGCACCAGGCCAAACTTTTGGTCATCTTTGTCTCGGGTTGTTTTTGTTTGCTTTATTAGTTGTTTTGTTTTGCAAAAATAGCCCAACTCCACCACAACAAGATAAAGGTAAATAATCCAATAGAAAAATGGGCACAAGATATGAACAGACACTTCACCGAAGAAGATATTCAGAAGGCCAACATGCACATGAAGAAATGTTCAAAATCCCTAGCTCTAAGAGAGATGCAAATTAAAACAACTATGAGATATCATCTCACCTGTCAGAAGAGCAAAATTTAACAGAACAGCAGGCAACAAATGCTGGTGAGGTTATGGAGAAAGTGGAACTCTTATTCACTGTTGGTGGGAGTGTAAAATGGTGCAACCACTGTGGAAGGCGGTATGGCGCTTTCTCAAAAAGTTGCAAATAGAGATACCATTTGACCCAGCAATTCCACTACTGGGATTATACCCCAAAGAGACCATAACTGACATCCAAGCAGATATAGACACATCCATGTTTATTGCGACTTTGTTCACAATAGCAAGGAGTTGGAAACAACCTAAGTGCCCATCAACAAATGAATGGATAGCTATGGTACATTCACACAATGGAATACTATACTGCATTGAAAAACAAGGAACTCATGCAATATTATTCAAAATGAGTGACCCTGGAGGACATTATGCTGGATGAAGTATCTCAGTCACAAAAGGACAAATACTGCATGGTACCACTGCTGTAAAACAGGACTGATCTCGGAGTTTGGGGGAGACTGAGAAAGATGGGATAAAGTATGTATACTGCACTGAAACAGATGAGGGAGAAAACTGTTTAAGAGAGATATGTTATTAGGTGTTCTTTTCATGACAGGAGTCCAGAGTGAAAGCTGCTTAGTGGGGTGGACCTGGGGGGGAGGGATTGTAAAACAATGAAAGAATTTTTCTTTTACTTTTCCAAGAGGGTAGTGTACTAGGGGAGAGGGCTGGGAGGAGAGAAAAGTGCAACAATGAATGAATGGAAATCCAAAGTCTCTGTAAATTTTCATTGAAATTAATAATAAATTTTAAAAAATAGCCTGAATCTCACTAGTAGTAAATCCATTAGTTCATAAACCAATTGAAGATCAACAAATGAAAACTTAACTTTAACAGCATGTGTTTCTGCAGGTAATTAAAGCACATAAAATACAGATTCCAAAATCTCCTTTACTCATTATATTCTATCTAGGAGAGACCCATTTAGCATCTATTTTTAAAATAATAAGATGGTGAGCCAGCATGTTGTCTCCCATTGTTGCTTGCCATATTTGCAAGACTTTTCAGCAATTCCATTCGCTCTGTGTGTGATGTGTCTTGACAAAGAACCCCCAATAGCTCTCACTGAAGAAGGAGATTGCCCTTTGATCTTGTTTATTCTTGGAAGTGATGTGGTTGTTGTGCAAACTGAGACGCTGAAGAGCATGCAGAGGACAGGAGTTTCTACCCTATATCCCAGGCCATGGTGAGAAGGACAGGAATCCTCTGAGCCCCACATTCCATTAATACCAGAGCACAGCCAGCATCTATGGATGCACCTGACCCAGAGTGCAGCCAGGTGCTGTCTTTAAGCAAGGAATAAAAGGTGCAGCAGGGCTCAGCACAGATCTTCAGTCCTCTAAGCTGGGCTTGTGATCTCAGAGGGCTGCTTCAAATAAAACTCCCGCTCCTTCTGTTCTCTAAGGAGAGTAGTTAATCTTTATCATGACAATTTAAGGCCCTGGCCAGATTGAATGGCAGCACTTAGCGCTCCATTTCCTAGCACAGCCTGCTTTTTGTGTTGACAACAGAACTTTAACCTGTCCTAAGGTTCTGCAGAGTCCTGCACTAAGTGGAGAGATGGAAAGATGTTTACGTTTTTGTGGATAATGTTCAAAACCACCAAGAGAAAATTTTCTTTTCACAGAAAAGTCTACTTTTTGTAAGGGAGAGTAATTATTAAATTTATGAAGTGATTAAAGATTAAATTATCTAGAATAAAATCTTCTGCGTATAATCAGGGATATTTTTCTAGCCCATTTCCAGTATTCTTTCTTCTGGTTGGGCTTTTGAGGTACTTTTGGACACAGCGAAAGGAGCCCTGGTAGTGCAGTAGGTTAAGCATTGGGGTGCGAACAAAGTTGGTGGTTCAAACCCACCTGCTGTTCCCTGAGGCAGTCTGCTCCCATAAAAAATGAACTGCCTTGGAAACCCTGTAGGTCAGCTCTGCTTTGGCCTATATGGTCCCTATGAGTTGGAAATGACTTGAAAGCAGTGGGATTTTGTTGTTGTTGCTGAATAAGACAAAGTTCAGTATATATTTTTCCTACTCTGCATACAGCAATTTATTAGTTACCTCCTTACCCCAACCCCAAATACCACAAATGAATCCATGGCCTACCTCAGTCAAAATGCATAATTCAGTAATTGTACATGACCCCACTGTGTGTGCCCCACTCATAGCTAATCTTCTAGTGATTTTGCGGAGGCTTTAAAATCACCGGGAGGAGATTGCCTTTCCTTCCCCCTCACCCTCTCAGAGCAGGTGGTCGATTCAAACTATTTGCCTTTGGGTTGACAATCCAACTTCTTAGTCACCAGAGCACCCCACGTTTCCTCACAGAGAAGAAAAGATACCAGATAAAATTCTAACAGTATAATAGAAACATTTTGTGGAAATAAAATTCCAGGAAATGTCTATGCTTTTGACCACTGTGTAAGAGATACAAAAGTGTTTCGCTTGTTAACTATTTAGTAAAAATGGATTTCCTATTGATTTAAGCTCTTTTAAATTTTTATTTTTAAAACCCTAGATTAAAGGTTTTACAAATCTAAATCTTTTCATCCCTAAATTACAGATCTTTTTCATCACCCTCAAAAAGATCATGAATCATTTTTTTAGACACTGTCATCAAATTTGTTCATCTGTGTATATCTGATCTCCTTGTAAATACCCTAGGAGCTGTAAAAGCTAAATCAGAAACAAGTAGTGATTCAGAGCTCCTTCTAGCTGGAAGATTTAAATAATACAAAACCATTTCCCAGTAGAACATCCAACAAAGGTGGCCAGTTCTTAATCATCCTTTGGCTCAAGTCTGAATAATCCTCTAAATAACACCACATAGTCAAGGCAGTACAACCATGGTGTACATCCGCATACTGCTAATTCCTTTTGCACTTGCCTGTAGCACACAGTTTAGCACTTTATTACATACTGGCTTGTTCTCCAACTGTTTCACATGTGTTGCCTTTCTTTAAAAATACTTTCTGGAATGTTACAGAGATGTGGCTCTGACTTAAATATCTCTGTAATCCACACACTCTAGCATGATACCAAGCATATAATACAAGAGTTTATACCTTTTGATTATTTATTCTTCTAAAATCATCCTAAAATAAGTATCTCTTGGAAAAGTTCCAAAATTTTTTCTTTCTGCTGAGATCGTTCACAAAGAGGCAGATTAATACTCAGCACTATTACATTTCCCCCCTTTCATAATTAGACCAAACTCATTCACTCTTCTGAGATCTCATAGTTGTTGAAATAAAAACTGGTCAGGATCAACTGGATAGAGTCATTAATGCTAAGTCAAGAGAGTTCTGTTGGCCAAGTGGCAAGAGGTTATGCTTCCAGCTCAAAAGCAAGTGGTTTAAATCTATCATCTGATCTTTCGAGGAAGATGGGCCATTTCCTCCTGTGACATTTACAGCTTCTGATACTTTCTACTGAGTCAGCTATGAGTCATTTCTGACTCAATGGCACATAACAAGAGTCAGTTACTGAGTATTAAGTTCTTAAACAGGTCGTAAGTTATACAAATTTACTATCTTCCACCAATATCCGCTATAACAGAAAGATAGTTTAACTTGTAAATAATAAATTTTCTTATTTAAGAAAATTGTTTAATATAGATATCTTAGATATCTTAAATTAAATATCCAAATTAGATATCTTAAAATTAATGTGTATACACACACACACATGCAGGGAGAGAGCTTTTATATGTTTGTTAGAATTAACCAGGAATATAAATATATTCTACCCTTCTAAATTTTGTTTCTGGGTGAGATAGGCTATGTATATTCATTCAGTCTTCATTATTGACATTGTTATGTGTTCCAAAAGAAGATAATTAAATAAAAATCATTATTATGTACAAAATTTGATGACACATCAAGTCACAAAAAGTAGGGTGACTACATCAATACATAACTACCTGATTACATCACTGCTGAGCTTCCAAATATTAAGTGTCATGTCTCAGACAAGCTGATACATAACCTTATCCATCATAGCTGCATTATTCATGCCTCTTATCTCACAATTTGTTAATGCAAGATGCTAAATGTATCATTAAGGTAGAAAAATAGTTGGGTAATAGACTTTTTACTAATGTCATAATTGTGAAATGTCAAATAATAAGACAGTCAAAAATAGTAGTTATAGAGACAAAAGTAAGTCATCATGCCATAATTTATATTTTATGTGGAACATACAACTGCAAATTTCAGTTTATATATTTTTAAAAATCATACACAAGGAGGTATAAAATTGCATATGTCCGTGCTTTTAAGGGTTGCCTTATTAACCAAATGCTATTATTATACCAGAAATACTACATTGGGTAGCTTTAATAAATGGGATTTTTTTTTTCTCTCTCACAGTTTAGGGGATTAGAAGTCTGACAAAAGTAAGAACTTAGGGAAAGGTTTTCTCTCTGTTGGTTCTGGAGGAAGCACATTGTCTCCTTTCAATACCTGTGACCACCCCCCCCACACACATGCCTTAAAGATCTACACATTTGTGGCATCAACCTATTCCTTGATCTAGTCAGTTCTCAGCTGTGGTGTAGTGGGTCTATTGTTCAAAATAGCTTTCTGAAGTCATTGCTCTTGACTTTGCCACCTGGCTGGAAAGAAACATGTACATAGGGTGTGTTAGCCTATCCACAAGGGGATTGGCTACTTTTGGCATTGTATCAGGTTTAAATTGAGCAGGTTCAGTAGCAGAAATTTCGGGATCTCACTACCAGCAAGAAAAAAGAAGCAGAGAATTCAGTGTGCATCCTTTGGGGTCAGAGAATTCCTACACCAGCCATACTGGAACTTACAAGAGAACACCAGAAGCTCCAGCAAGAACCAGAGAACTCACATGAGACAACAATGACCTGGGACTGTTGTCCCATGAAGCCAGAGTTAGAAACCTTCACCTATGCTTGCTAGAGGACTTGAGGGGAGATGCTATAATTTTCAGGAGTAAGTGATCTCTATAACACCTAAAACAATTACCTTAGTACAACTTTGTAATGGCCTAAAGCTGTAAAGTTTAAGGCTGAAGGACCTGTGAAAATATTTGAATAGTTGTACCATCTGAGAAAGGGTATCCTGTTACCAACATGAGTTATAACCTGTTAACATCCTTAATAAACTGCAAAAGTGTAAGTATAGTTATGTGAGGTCTGTGTATCTATCTCAACAGTTTTTGGATTCGGTAGAGCAATACTGGATCCAGTAAGATTGGTGTTAGAATTAGTGGAAGTAGGTGTGGGAGTTTGGGGACTTGTCTGATCTCATGAGAATTGGTTTTGGGATGTGGATGCTGATGATGTGAGTAGTAACCCCCTTGTGAGTGGGTAGAGGTCAGACTCCTTGGTCTTGAGTCTTTTTAATCAACACAGGGATTCTAGGTATAAAGAACACAATTTGATTGTAGCTCTTATTTCTTGGTAGTAATGAGGTACCTTTTTCTCTGTTCGTTTCTCCCTTCCTTTGTCTCTCATAAGATAAAATGTGACACAGGCTATACTCCATGGACACTTTCATTATAAGAGGTGTGAACTTAATACGTTTCTTACTTCTCACCCTAACACTACCTCACTAATATAACAAACAAGATCTAATCCTTTTTAACATAAACTAATTCTGCCTCATTAAGAAAGGACAATTACATCATCAGAAAATGGAGAACCACCACTCTGATAAGCATAACCTACAAAATTTGACGTACATTTGTTATGAGGGCACAATTCAATTCATGACAAGTTACTTATGGTACTATATTAACTTACAGATCATCAGGACAATTCCTTGGTGGCTTCAGTCTCCCTCCTGTTTGCACGTAGTTTAAAACATCAAGGTTGGAATGAGCTGGATAAGGCTGATGCCCAAGTGTTAAGATTTCCCAAATCAAAATTCCAAAAGACCTACGAATATTAAGAGTTTATTTTAATGACATTTATTACAAAAAATTAGGTTTATAGTCATCTCACCAACATATTTCTGGGGTTATCAGGTTCTGCTTGGTAACTGGCATTAACAAAAACACCAAACCCATTGATGTCAAGTCAATCCCAATTTATAATTCTGTAGCACAAAAATAAAACTGTCTGTAGTGTTTCTGAGCCTGTAAATCTTTACAGAAGATCACTCTGTCTTTCTCACACAGAGCAGCTGGTTAGGTCAATCTACCAACCTTCTGATGAGCAGATACATTCTTTAACCACCAGACAACCCATAAATGTTAAATGTTGTTATGTGCCATTGAGTCAAATATGATTTATAGCAACCCTCTGAACACATCTAAACCTTGTCCTATCCTGTGCCATCCTCATCGTCTCCTACATACTTGAGCCCATTGCTGCAGTCACTGTGTCAGTTTCATTGAGGGTTTCCCTCTTGCCGACCTTCACCTTCCCAAGTATGATGATATTATACTTAGCAACATGTCCAAAGTATGTGAGACAAAGATTTGCCATCCTTGCCTCTAAGGAGGAACATTCTGGTTGCACCCTCTCCAAGGTCTATCTGCTTGTTCTTTTGGCAGTCCATGGGATATTCAATACTCTTCTCCAAACCACAACTCAAAGGCACCACTTTTTCTTTGGTCATCCTTATTTATTATCTAGCTCTCAGCACAACAGCAAGTGATTGAAAAGAGCATGCCTTGAATCAGGTAAATCTTAGTCTTCAAACTGACATCACTGCTTTTAAGTACTTTGCAGAGGTCCCTAAAAGCCAACTTTTCCAATAGAATATGTCTTTTGATTTAATTTTTTGTTGTTCTTGTTCAAAGGCTGTTCATTTAGGCCATTTTTTTTAATTTGGTTATATTAAAATACACGTAGCAAAACATTTGCCATCTTGACCGCTTGTAAGTATCTGATTTGGTAACATTCACCATACTGTGTAATACCATTTATCTATTTCCAAAAAAGTTTTATCACCCCAAAGAGAAAGTCAGTGCTTATGAAAAAATGCCTTCACTCTACACCCCACTAATTTCTCCAACCCCTGGGACGCTCAGATAAACTTTTGTCTCTTCACATTTCCCTATTCTAAATATTTCTAGATATTTGATGAAGCATATCCTATTTCTTCTTTTATGACTGACTTATTTCACTTCATATTTTCCAGGTTAAATCATGTTATCTGTTGTTATCAGGTGCAATCAAGGGTGTTGTAACCCACAACTGCACACCTGAATGTGGTGCTTGAGCCACAGTGAGCCACTGTGTCAATGCCTCACACTGCTGACCTTCCTCCTTCTCAATGACTTTGTACTTTTTCAGGCAGTGTTCCCTAGAGACGAGCCTCTCCCAAGAAAATGCCAAAGGATGTGCCAGCCTTGCTTCTAAGAGCATTCAGGATGCACTTCTTCCAAAACAGATTTGTTTGTTCCTCCCATGCTATGTTTATTCCATATTCTCCTCCAGTCTTCCTTAGTGTCCAGCTTCCACATTCACCTGCCAAGAATAAAAATGAATTCCACTGCCAGTGAACTGGTTCTAGTTCAGAGTGCCCTTCCACTGGCTTTCCAGTTCAAAATGATCTTCCACTGGAAACCTCCAGCCAGGTTTCCAAGGCTGTAAATCTTTATGGGAAGAAACTGCTCATTTTTCTTGCTCCAGTACCTGGTGAATTTAAATAGCCAACTTCTCAATTAGCAACCCAATACATTAATGACTGCACCACCAAGGCTTCTTATAGACATGTCATCAAGTCAGAACTGACTTCACAGCTGATGCTCCAGCAGGTTCTCAGAGGCTGTAAATCACATGGGAGGAAATTGTCCATCTTTATCCCAAGGAACAGCTGGTGAACTCAAACTACAAACCTTTGGATTGGCAATGGAACACCTTACTACTAAAACTCCAGATCTCCTTCTTTATAGGCATATGAGATGGAAAATATCATGACTTAGTCTTAAAAGTGACATCCTAAAACAATTATGAGATATCATCTCACCCCAGTCAGAAGAGCAAAATTTAACAGAACAGCAAGCAACAAATGCTGGTGAGGTTGTGGAAAAATGGGAACCCTTTTCACTGTTGGTGGAAGTGTAAAATGGTGCAACCACTGTGGAAGGCGGTATGGTGCTTTCTCAAAAAGTTGCAAATAGAGATACCATTTGACCCAGAAATTCTGCTACTGGGAATATACCCCAAAGAGACCATAACTGACATCCAAGCAGATATATGCACATCCATGTTTATCATGGCTTTGTTCGTGATAGCAAGGAGTTGAAAACAACCTAAGTGCCCATCAACAAACAATGGAATACTATGCTGCATTGAAAAACAAGGAACTCATGCAATATTATTCAAAATGGGTGACCCAGGAGGACATTATGCTGAGTGAAGTATCTCAGTCACAAAAGGGCAAATACTGCATGGTGCCACTGTTGTAAAACAGGACTGACCTCAGGGTTGGGAGGAGACTGAGAAAGATGGGCTCAATAATGTATACTGCATAGATGAGGGAGGAAACTGTTTAAAAGGGATATGTGATTAGGTATTTTTGTCATCACAGGAGTCTAGAGCAAAGGCTGCACAGTGGAGGGGACCTGGGTGGAGGGATTGTAAAACAATGAAAGAATTTTCATTTTACTTTTCCAAGAGGGTAGTGTATTAGTGGGGGAGGGTTGGGAGGGGAGAAAAGTGCAACAATGAATGAATGGAAATCCAAAGTCTCTGTAAATGTTCATTGAAATTAATTAAAAAAAAAATTTAAAAGAGAAAAAAGTGACATCCGGGCTCTTTTAGCACTTCAAAGAGATTCTTTGCAGCTGATTTACCTAGTGCAATATAAAATTTTATTTCTTGTTTTATCATTTGGGGTTTTTTCCCTTCATTCACTCACTCAGTTAATTATCGTTTTCCACATTATCAAGATTGAAGGGATGGAAAGTAACACACAATTTGCCTTTGAAAGTCTATTTCTTGGGGGACTGGGGGGAGAATGTGCAACAATGTATGAGTGGAAATGCAAGTTTTTGTAAACCTTAGTTAAAGTATCAATTGAAAAAATAAGGGAGCTCTGGTGGCCTAGTGGCAAGGAACTGCAACTACAATCCCAGAGGCACACGGTTCGAATCCACCAGATGCTCTGCCGGGGAAGGAGGGACAATCTCCTCCTGTACCAGTCAGATCTGATTTGACGGTACACGCACACAAAATAATAATAATAAATTTTAAAAAAATGAAAAAAGAGAAAAAGTCTATTTCTTGTGCATGTCTTTTGTAAAAAAAATATAATTTACATACTGTGCTTTGACCAAGACAAAGTTGTTTAAGGCAAACCATTTAGTTCCTTATGCTTTTGAAAAGTCATTTTAGACCCCAAGGACAAAGAACAACTTTTTTTTGTATTTCCAGGTAGTTAATTCTTATTTTTAATTGAGATTTTAATGAAAGTTTACAGAGAACATGGATTTATATTCATTCATTGTTGCACATTTTCCTCTCTGCCCACACCTTTCCCCCCCTCAACCCGTTAGCTTTTCTTTTTTGGGGGAAAAAAAGTCTTCCATTTTAATACAATCCTCCCCCCGCCACTTCCCCACCCCAGTCCACTTTACTATGCAGCTTTTATTCTGGAGTCTTGTCATGCAAATAATACCTAATAATATATTACTTTTAAGCCGTTTTCTTCCTAATCTTTTTCAATGCTGTGCACATTATTTATCCCGTCTTTTTCTTTGTTGCCCCCCCAACCTCTATGTCAATCTTGTTTCATAACAGTGGCATTTTGTAGTATTTGTCCTTTTGTGACTGAGATATTTCACTCAGCATAATGTCCTCCATGGTCACCCATTTCGTATAATATTTCATGAGTTCATTATTTTTCAGCTCTGCATACCACAGCTTCTCTATCCATTTATTTGTTGATGGGCACTTAGGTTGTTTCCATCTCTTTGCTATTGTGAACAATGCAACAATAAACATGAGTACGCAAATATCTGTTTGGGTAGCATCACCAGTTTCTGTAGGGTATTTTCCCAGTAGTGGAATGCTGGGTTAAATGGTATTTCCATGTTTTTGAGAAAGTGCCATATTGCCGTCTAGAGTGGTTGCACCATTTTTAGTTCCCACCAACAGTGGATAAGGGTCGTTTGCTTCTCTATTGAATTTGCCATTTTTTTAAGTTGTTGTTGTTGTTATGTGCCATCGAGTTGCTTGCGACTCATAGCGACCCTATGTAAGAGCTCTAAATGCCGTTCTATTCTATGCCAACCTAGCCATCCCAAACGCACTTATTCCCACCACTACTCCAGTCACAGAATAGATCCATCTCATAGAAGGTCTTCCTCTCCTTTGCCGCCCCTCCACTCTGCCAAACATGATGTCCCTCTCCAAGGACCAGTCCCTCCTTGCAACATCCCCAAAGTATGTCAGACAAAGCTTCAGAATCCTTGACTCCAAGGAGCATTCCAGCTTCACAGGGACTTTATTAGTCCCATTACAGAACAGGTCTTCCAGGGGCGGCAGGAGGCAGCTGTGGGGCAGGGCTGTAGAGCAAGGGTGGTGCTACCTGCCTGCGACTAGGGGGTTCCTTAGGACCACATGACCAAGTCCCCAAACAGGAACATCTTAGAGATGTAGCAGACCTTGTTGACGGCCTTTGACTTCTTCTTGCTTTTGCCACTCTTGGGGGCCTCAGTCCACATCTCCTTCACGTTTCCAGCACCATGTTGCAGTGCCTTTCAAAGGCCTTCATGCGGTCCAGGAGCTTCTTCTTGTTGTGACAGTTATTGAGCACTTGGATGTTGTTCTTGACCAACTGCCTGAGCCGAAGAAGGGGTCCTTGTTAAAATCCTCCTTTTCTCGCTTCTGCATCTCCTCCGGGATCATCTCAGTCTTGGGCTTGTTGAGGAAGCTCATCATGCTGGCTGAGGACTCCAATCACTCCCGTTCCCTCCGCGTTG